GCTTCTAGCTTGGTGCCTTCACCAGTAGACCAAACTGGCTATCTGGCATTGTATCTCACTGGGCCACCAGTTCTGCTTTCTCTGCCATGTACCATGTTGCCAACTAGGTAGATCATCTGGGCACCCCAAAAGACCAAGTGAAAATAACTTCATGTCAACATATTATGGCAGTCTTGCGGGGCCAGTGTGTTGTGCAACAAGGTCACATAGTGTAATAAGATTGGGACTGGGACTTCTGTCCTCACTGTGAGTTGTGTTGGGGGAGGGTGCATGAAGGGAGGCTCAGCCAATCTCATTGTACACATATTGTACTCTGACAATAAAGGTAATGATAATGAGGCCCAGCAAAATTTCAGCATCCCTTTAAAGTACGCCCATGGATGTTCTTCTGAGGTCTGCTTGGGAGCTGCTCAGCCTGGCAGTCCATGAAAGCCTCTGTGTGTGTGTGGGAAACGGAGGGGTGGGGCAGGCTTGCCAACCTGCCACACCAACTCTCTTGGTGCCCCAGAAGCTGGTGACCACAAAAGGGGATTTCAAGATTGTGCAGTGGGGATCAGATCAAATGCGATAACCCAGCAAAGGAAGCAAGACAGTTTTTGAAAACTTTCAGCTTAATTTTATTTATTTACAGCCAAAAACATATATATTTTCTTAAGTTTTCGCGGGTATCTATATGTATGGTATTCAGCTTTGTTCGGGTATTTTCCCACATCATTATAGTAAAATGCAGTAAAAAAGCTGGAACACACTTCCTCACTAGTCCAACACATGAAAGCCACAGGTCATAGCATCGACTTCAATGGCACCAAAACCCTAGCCACTATAGAAAACCCCAGCCACAGAATTATCAGAGAAGCCATAGAGATTGAAAAAAGACCTGAAAGCATGAATAGAAGAGATGATGCCACCAGACTGTCAATTATTTGGAAGCCTGCACTCACAAACAAAAAAATCTCCACACCACAAGCCAGCCAAACACCTGGGCACAAACAGACCCCCCAATACCTCCAGCTCAAACACACCCCAACCAGGCACCCAGATGAAACCTAACTTCCTAACAAATGATAGCCGTCCATTTACTCGGAGCCAAGCTGCACTAAAAGCCTCCAATACAGGAAACACAATGTTGCCAGCCAATCAAGACAAAAAAAGCTACAGAACAGACAGAAGATATTAGAAACACCAATCAAGCAGAACACAGCAAACTCCAAGACCAATAAACACAGACCAAGACTCCCAACCAATCAGGATGAAGAAAAAACCATTCTGGCACAGCAGTAGGCTAGCCCCAAATTTAAAACTGAAACGGCTGTGAAAGTCTGACTCACAGACGAACACAATACAGAAGCCTGATGATGGCAGATGAGATTCTGCCGAAATGTTGCTACAACTTTAAAAGCACAACTATAATGATGTGGGAAAATACCCAAACAAAGCTGAATACCACACACACACACACACACACACACACACACACACAGAGAGAGACAGACAGACAGAGAGAGAGAGAGATTGGAATTGTTCCTCTTTGTGGGGGTGGCAGTATAGCTAGACAATAAGGAAGCTATTTGCTTCTCTCTTCTTTTGAAACCGATGGTCTTTAAAAAAAAAAAAGATCATGATAAAACCATTGAATGTAACCAGCTGAAATTTGTCATGGTTGATGTCTATTAAAGAGGTTTTAATGCCTGCTATTTTCAGCCTATTCCGCCAAAAAAACAAAGCAATTTAAGTTACTTTGAATTTTCCCCCAATAGCTTATGAACAAATATGGAGAAAAATCTTGATGAGTCTCTCTTCCATATGCAAATGAGCAATCTGTTTCAGAGGTGGAAGGGAAATGCTGCACTCCCTGTAGCCTAAAAGATGTCAGAGGAAGCTGGTATAAATTGAATTATCTTTTTTCACTTTAGCATACAGCATTAAATAGTCAACAATAGGATAATAAGGTTTAGAATACATATAGCCAAATTTGTTTTTGTTAGTATTTGGTGCACTAAATCTACTAAGTGTGGTTTATTATGGGGGGGAGGATAAATAAGATTGCACTAGATGCATGTTAGGTTTATTTCTTTTGTAAATACTATAAGAACAGTTTTATTTCTTCTGTTAGATTGGATCCCCTGAAATTTGTTTTGCTCCTTGAGAACATGAGCTCACAGTTTAACATTACAGCAGGTCAAAATTGATAGTCCCTCTGGGAATACAGGCTACAGCTTACATCAATCACCTCACGCTGCCCAAAACTGAAAGGTTAGAATGCTTTCTTGTGAAGACTACAGATGATTTTTCTGAAACTAAAATCCTGAACCACCTAGAATGAAATCCTTTTGCCCTCAACCGTCAAGACTGAAAACATGCCTCCACTTCTTCCTTCACATTTCATACCTTCAAATTGAAATGTGTCATGGCTGATTTTTGCAAGGCGGAAGGGACCATAATATCATTCCCCTGCGTGCATCTATTGCATCTCCAGGAGGGGTTGCTGGGTCACCATAGCTTGAAACGATGCCCGGAAATGCATGAGGGTAGGATCACTGGATAACTGAAGCGTTTCTTTAAGAGCGTTTGTTGAGGACGTAGTATACAATTCTTGGTTTTTGCTTATTAAGTTCACTGGATAATTTTTCAGTAGTAGTTTTATGCTTGTGATGGGATAATTGTTTGTTTTCTTGAGTTATAAATGACCTCTAATTTTTGTAATGTATTTTGTCTTTTAATGACCCAATAATCCACCCATTGAGATGGAATTGGGGCAACTGAATGGAGCTGAGTGTTTACTGGCCGGAGGCCCTTCTTGTCACCAATGCAGAGTTCACAGCAGATATGTTCACATTGTGCAACTACCTAGGATCAAACTCACAGCCTCCTGATTGTGAGGCGAGAGCTGCACCTCTAAGCCACTGCTGCACCTCTTTAATTTTGCAATGTATGAGTAATTTATTTGTTTCTGCATAGAAGATAGCCTAATAATCCTTCTCCAGACATCATTAAATATTCTTGGTGTTTCTCAGGAAGTCCTGGCTGGGAGAAAGTTGATATTTGTTTAACTCTATTCGGGAACAAGAGGCCATGTATATATCATTTAAAGCCAATTTTGTTCAGAGGAAATGGGGCATGTTGTAATCTTTCTGGTGATAAAGGTTGTCGGCATGATTAAGCTGGACTCCATAAATTTACTTTATAAGCAATCTTCATTTAGTGGCATGTGTGGTTAGAATGATGATGAAAAAGTAGCTTTACAATGCCTTACATTTATGATCTTCACAGATCCATAAAGCAAATAAAAAGTAAGATCAGAAGCACAGTTGCAGTTTCACTTAATGACTGTTTTGCTTAATGACAAAGTTGCCAGTCCCAATTGTGGTCACTAAACAAGGCCCACCTATACTACCTCTAAGAGTAATACAGTGTATTGAATGGGAAACATTTTGTCTGGTCTCAAATATTTAGTGAAGCAATAGAGGCTGTAATAAACCTGGAACTTTGGGAAGCCAATATTATGATCTACCTTGTTTAAATGCAAATCATCAACCAATTGCCGTAGTTGTTGCTGAGAAAATACCAAAGCCAGTGTTGTCTGAAAGAAGAGCTGGAAAGAAAGTAGAGTTTGGATCTTTTCTTCCTCCATTCCATTTAACTATCCCACTGTTTGAATATATGGAAGAGTGTGTGTGTGTGTGTGTGTGTGTGTGTCCCTATACCCTAAAAAAGATGGAAAAAGTATCAACAAGGAACATTGGAAAAAGAAGAGAATTACTTGTTTTTTTGTTTTGGGATTATATCTTAAATAGGGTAGGGTTATTGTTGTTTGGAAAATGGTAGACTGCACGTTAATGTGCTTCTTGAAGATGCTTCGATTTCTGTAATTAAAATAAATTGTGATCTTTCTTTGTTAGCAAAGTATAATAAAAGGTAATGTCAGGATAGTCTACAAAAGAAATGCAGAGCTGTATTTCTTCACGGCCTGTATGTTCATCTTATTCTGACAAAAATTGAAATAGCTGTAGGTGGTATGATGTTTCCTTAATTATACTTGACTATTATAATTATAATTGACTACTTTTTGAATGGAAACTTTGAAGCAGGTTTGATCAGAGTTTGGAACAGAGCCATGCCCTTTCAAATCGCACATTTTTTAATGTGAATCTAATTACAACACATTTAAAATGAATTTAAATTAATTGACTGCACATTGATCTTCAAGTTCTCATATCACCATACTTACGTTGAAGCACCTTCTCTCCTTGTTACCCCTAGGAAAGGGAACTGTAAAAAGTGCATACAAAAAGCCCCCCAACCTTATTGAATATATGCAAATGCTGGCCTTTAATTTGTTAGGAAAATCAGAATAGTTTTAATTCCTAAAACTGGAACTGCTTAAAACAGTGTGATTCCTACACTGTCATCATCCCACGGAGATCTGAAATTCAAGAGCATATACATTTTCTGTAGCCTTAGGAAAGTGTCTGCTTTTACAATGCAATCAGTGGTATATGGCAATGCATATAGGTAATGCATGTTACTGGATATTTGTCAGTGTTGCTGTTTGAAATGAGAGCACTTTTTTAAAAAAAATGTGGATTATTTTTCTCGCTTTGCTCTTTTTTTTTGAATAAGTCATCCTTTAATGCTGGTATGGAGTTTCAGAAACAGTTAATATATGGATCCATTTTGTCAAACTGTCTACTAATGTCATTTTATTTTTTCATTCTACACTTATGCTATAAATTATTCTGCCCTCCATGGATTCATGACTGATCTTTGAGCACTCAATACAGCTACTGTAGTTGGTTGTAAGACAATTCCAGTTGATGCACTATTCGCTCAGCCAATTTAGCCCATGCATTTAAATTGATTCACTGAAATGGTAAACCTTAGAATTCCAAAATTATATCCTTCATTTATATTTTTTTAAGCCCCTCCAAAAAGGGGCTTTTCATGGGACTTGGCTCTTGAGATGTTTCGGTCCTGATTAATTTTTCTTCTTTTCTTCATAGGTTGCTGGATATTGAAAGTCAAATGATCTATTTTGCAAGTTCCTATGCAGTAACAGGCTTTGCTGTTCTGGTGCTTGGATACCTCCAAGTTAGTATTTACTTCTAGTCTTTCATTTCCTGCCCCACCCCAGAAGAGAAGTCAGTTATTTAACGGCCAGGGTTCATGACAATTCAAGACCCTATTAACATAATTGGTTTGGAAATCAGTAGCACTTTCTGTAGCATATCAGCCATTTTTCTACCACAGACTCCTGAAATGAACAATTCCTATGTCACTGTTGATTCACCTAAATGTTAAATAAGAAATATGAATCAAAGTTGAGTCATGCACACTACTGTGCATTAATACATAGGTTTCCTTTCTTCCCACTTCTTACATACATGGACATTCTATGCCAGGGGTATCAAACTCAGGGTCCGTAGGCTGAATCTGGCCCGTGGGGTCTTAGATCTGGCCCACAGGGCTACCCTGGAAACAGCAAAGGACTGGCCTGCGGTGCCTCTGCCAGTGAAAACGGAGCTCAGGAGGGCCGTGTGCAGCCCTTCGAGGCTCTGTTTTTGGCTACAACAGCCTCCTGAAGCCCTCTGCCAACAAAAATGGAACTTGGGGTGGGGGGCACAGCTCTATTTTCACTGGCAGAGGCCTGTAGGAGGCCCTTCTGGCCCAAAACAGAGTCCATGGGAGCTGCGTGCACCCCTTCTGGGCTCCATTTTTGCTGGCAGATGGTTAGCAAAACAAACTAAAAACAAAACAAAAGGAGAAATGTTTCCCCTTTTGCATTTGAGTATGCAAGAAGGGACAGGAAAGGAGAAAGGGAAAGAGGAAAGTCAAAGGAAAAGAAAGGGAGATGGGAAGAAAGAAGAAAGGAGAATGAAGAGGGAAGGA